CTTGCTTGGCGAAGCCCTCAGCTAAAAAGGATGGCAGTTCAAGCCCACCCAGAGGGCCCTCAGGAGACAGGGCTGGGGATCTGCTTCGAGTGGTCCTACTCTGCACACAGGGGGCCACTACTGGAGCTTTCTCTGAGGGTCTGAGGGTCCGCGTGATCCTCTGAATCTGCCCAGCCTAGCATCTCTTTGACCCAGGAGCCACCCCTTCCCGGCCCCTCCTCCAGCCGGACTACTGAGACACTGAGAGAGGACAGCGGAATGAGTGGGCATCCTAGGAGAAGAAAGGGGTGGGGGGCTTCTCTTGGGGGCAGGTCAGAGTGAGTTCTAAGCACAGCAGGCCAACCAAGCTTGGGTCTCGCGTCAGGTCCAGTTCGGCAGCTCCGCGCTGTGGGTTTGAACACCTCTCTGGAAGCACCGTCCCTTCTGTGTTGTTTATTTCTCTGGGAACAGATATTACACATGAAAGGGACGTCTCCGCAGATGTAAGTGTTCTCAGAAGAGTGAGATGTGGTTCAATTAACAAGGTGTCCTGCACTTCCTGCCACGCTATACATATTTATTGATTTGATTTCCAGCCGCACTGTTTCGAGGAGCAAGTGGGCTTGAGGAGGATATTGGAGAATTATTTTTGAAAGATTGAAATTAGCAGCCACAATCTCATCTCCTTCTACAATTACATTGCAGAAAATGGTTTGTTTTCCTGGCGTGCGAGGGAGCGGGCTCGCCTCGGCTTTATTTTCCTCTGGCGTCTGGTTCACGGAGTGAAAAGTGGAGGGGACAAAGGAATAACACGGAATAAAAGCGGCTACGTGGCTTGGAAACCAGCAAAGGGGAGGAAGCAGAAAGACGGCTAATGCCCTCTTGCTGGGTAAACAGCTTCCGAGAAAGTTCTGGAGGAATAATGGCAAGCGTGTTCGTATGGGATGTTCCAATCACTCGCAGAATTTCCTTCATGCCCAGCGAACGGGCCTTTGGCTTACCGCTTACAGGGGCCGAGAGGCCGGAGGCCGCATGACCAAAGGCCGTGTCCAACGCACAGGGCTGGTCTCAGCCACAGGCTTGCCTTCGACCTCCACAGCGTCCATGCTACAGATCCTGCTCCCTTCCGTCCAGCCACGGCTCAGGGCCACGAGGTGCCCCGTCAGGCCACGTATCCATTGACAACATAGGAATATTCGCCCAAGTTCTTCTTTGAACCCAATAAATGTAATCAAAGCTCTTCTAAGAACCCAATAAATGTAATCAAAGACTGAGCCACCAAACACCATAAATATACTGCCGGAAACCTGGACAGGCCTTGGCAACTGCGCCCTCTCCCACTGCCTTCCCCAGGAGGAGCGCTCTCTGCTCACTCTCTCTCTCTCTCTCTTTTGTTCTCCTCCCTGCCTTTGTCTCCACGCCCAACACAGTGCCACTGCGCTGGCTGCAACGTGAATCACCCAGGAGTTGATTTAGCTTTCAAAAAAACCCAAATCAACATTTGGTTACTCTTGCATTTCTAACCTACTTCAGTCCCCCAAACAAAGAAGGCATGTCTTGGCTGCTAAGACCACCCCCCCCCCACCCCCTCTACAGCTCAGGGGTCTTGGGTGCTAAGACCCCCCCCCACCCCAGTCCAGGGCTCTTGGAGGTAAGGCCACCCCCCGCCACCCACCCAGACTCTCTCATCTCAAAGAAGAGCGTTTTGCAGAAAATCCTACTGCTGACCTTCCTGCAGCCTGCAGCTCTAAAGAATTTTCCATAAAAGCTGTCATTAAATCAACAGCTCCTGCCTCGCTCGTTCGGCCTGCTGTTATCCTGGAAGGCTCGTTTCTGCCTCTTCTCAGTGGGTCTTTGATTCTCTGACAATTCAGTGGGGTGTTGGGCTTGTAGCAGCTAAATGATCTTCCCAGGCTTGCATAGTTTCTGTTTTTCATCCTCCTAACCATATGCAGAAGGGTATGAGTGAGAAATATTATCCAGAAAACCCAAAGGAGGGGTAGGGGGAGAAAGGAAGATGATGTTTTGATGAACACCCTTATTTCAGAATCTGGGCTCCACTGGAACGATTGTTCTTAATGTTTTTTGTTTCTTGTTTTTAAAGAATTAGCTTTAGTTGTATTTCCAACATTGCCTCTAAGGCGTTGCAGCACTTTCTACTGAGGACCACGGAAATCTCTGGGCATCAACAAAAATTTACCTCACGGTGGGTGATTTCTTCGGCACCATTAAGCCCTGGGGCGGGTGACAAAATTGCATGTCACAGACTTAATGATTAGAAGGATTATTTGGTCGCCTGCACCATGTACAATGATTTAATAGATGACAGGGCGGTGGAGCGTCAGGCTGCTTCACCCATGTGGAGAGGCTGCAGGCAGGGACCCCGGGCTCCTTCAGCCCTCTGTGTACGCCCTCATCTACACCGGTACTGTACTCTTAACACCAGCTTCCACTTTGGTCTTGAGCAAAACTGTTATGGGTCGAATCACTTCCCCCCTGCCCCGACCCCTCAAGATGGGCTGTAAATCTTCATTTCTGTGCCCATTATCATCCCATTAGACACTGGATGGCCTTTGCTGTGTGAATGAGACAGGATTGGTGCAGGTACATCTCTTTTGAGATAGGAAAGAGATCAGACAAGCAGGGAGAGAAGCGGAGTTGGGAAAGCGGGATGCCAGGCCTTGTGGGGATCGTTCAGGCACAGGAGCTCAAAAGAGACAAAGCGCCTTCCCCCAGAAATGACAGTGAGAGAAAGCGTCCCCTCCGGTCGGTGCCCTGAAGTCTGGCCTCTAGGCTCCTGCACGGTGAGAAGCTGCATTTGATGGTGTGGCAGTGAGATCATCTGTTGTCAGTTTGGGGATTCAGAGAGAAGGGTGGAGTCTAGCCTGTCCATTGGGTCGCAGTTTGAGGACCTCATTTGGAGGCGCTAAGGAGATAAATCGCTCGCTGGAGGCAGGACGGATGCTCAATCCCTGGGAGACATTCTGGTGGACAAGCCACATGGAGACAGACTGATGGTCACCAGAGCCTCAGAGCTGGAGGAGCTACGTGGAGACCCACGCCAGCACTGAGATGCTTACACCGCCACTGGATCCACAAGACTTTCCACCCACTGGCCTGGGATCTTCCTACATTTGGCGTCATTGCATGTTTTGTGGGAGTCTGAAGAGGGATTTATAGACTGGTATCGGACAAACGGGCTAATAGCCGACTTACGGACTTGATCTGGACTGGGCTGTTATGTTTCCTCAATGTACTCTTTATATAAAGCTCTTTCTTATACACATCCGAGGGTGTCTAGGAATCTGTTTCTCTAGTCTACCCGGACTGACACAGGGTGAGAGCGCCACCTGCGGGCAGCATTCCTGTGATAGCAGTGCTGGGTGACAGACCCCACCCCACCCACCCCACCCCCGGCCCCCCATGGGGACGTGGGCCCCTGGTGCTTTACCCGCTTGGTGAGCTGAGTGTCCATCATGAAGTTGTGGACGTGCTTCTCTGCTTTGGTGAGTTCCAGCTTCCGGGCCACCACGGCCACCACGAGGGCAGTGCAGCCCGCACCCTGTGGGGACAGCAAGGACACAGGACGGGAAAGAGGACATCACTCAGAGGCCAGGCCTGGGAGAAAGTGCCCCAAACCCCGTGCCCTCAGTGGGTGTTTCCTGGGGGGCGGCGGCTTCCTGGTTGGTGGAGACCCATGTGTGGAGACCAGCACCTTCTGGCTTGTCCTCCACAGCTGACCTCTGAGAGAAAGGGTCTTGCTAAAACTTCCTGGCCCTTCTCGGGCAGGATTAGGGATGGAGGCTGGGGATTTGGGAACGTCAAACCGATAATCCCCAGGGCCCGCCAGGCCACGCAGTGGGTCCACACACACGTGCACCCCTGCCTTCCTGCACATCTAACCCCACTGCCACCCCCAGAACAGTGGGCCCAGAGGGAAGGAGACGAAGTCGCCCTGGATTCCTCGCACCCTCCTGACAAAAGAACCACCCCAAACCTAGTGGCTTCAAGTTGATTCTAACTGATGGCAACCTCACGTGCTCCTGAGTAGAACTGCCCCTTAGGGCTTTCTTGGCCAGAATCTCTATGGAAGGAGATGGGCCAGGCCTCTCTTCCCGGACACCCTGGGTGGAGTCAAGCCTCCTGTCTTCAGGGCAGGTGCAAACGTGCGGCACGCAGGGAGCTCAGGATGCAAGAAGGCCCTGCAGAACTGTGAGTGTGCTGTCCCGGAGTTTCCATGGACAGACTCCAATGAAGAGGCAAGACACCAGCCACATAGATGGTCCTTCAAGAAGGAACACTGCGTGCGGAGCCTGAGCTCAGCCCCGGGTCGGGGCTTTGTGCCCGAAGGTCTGGCACGACTCAGCGCCGGCAGCGTCTTGCTCTCCTTCATCAGAAGGCCCGGCACCCACCCCCACGCAGAGGGTCCGAGGACCGACAGCAACACTCGCGCAGAAAAGCAGGGTGGATACGCAGTCGCAGAAGGCCCGGCGGGCTTTCCGGAATAGTGCTGCTATTCTGCTTCGGTGGGTCCATGGGGGCGCACTCGGAAGGGGTACGAGGAAGAAGCAGGGGTTCAGGAGTCTCCAGGACGGCAGGGCCCACACTAGACTGCCTGGTAAATGAGCTGAGGGAGCAAAGGGGTCTGCAACCACGGTCCTCCCGCCCCCATGGACTTCTGGGCCTCTCCTGGGGGGCTGCTCGCCCAGCCCGTGCGCACCCGGGGAAGGAGGGAGTCATTCTGCCCTGGTCGGGCACCCCTGTGTGCCCCGGGCCTCAGAACAGGGAGCTCTGTTGTCCGAGGTCTGGCCTCACTCTCAAACTTGCTTGCTGCCTGCGGACCACGTTTTGGGCTTCCCAGACTCCCACCCGTGGACAGACACGAGAAGCTTACAAAGGCCAAACGCCTGTCCCTTTAACTGCCACAGGCATTAAAGTCTCAGAGCCCCCTTTAGCGGGATGTCACCAATCCACCGGCACCATTGTGACCTCAGGGGTCCTACAAAATGTGTGCCGTGCAGACACCCACGTGTTCCATCTGCAGCTACCGGTCGGAATCCACTCAGCAGCCGTCGGCTTGGTTCTTGGGTCGGCCTTGGCCGCTACACTAGGGCTGGGAGGTACGCCCACAGGTGGATCCGCAAGGCTCGCCCCTTGTCGGTCAGAGCCTGGCCTGCATCATGTGGGGCCTGGCCGACGTGGACAATGCTTCGTCTAACCCTTCGTGAGCGCCGCCACGGAAAGCCCCTCGTGTCCCCTGGTGTCTTTGTCACGCAGCCACGTCCAGCACAGTCCAGTGACGAGACCAGGGTCTGTTGTCGACTTCCCCTTGCCGACCTCGTTTTCCTCCCTCATTGAGAGAGGCCTGCGTCTTCTGGGCTCTGTGACTAGCAGGAGACGGCGGAGGAGATGGGCCAGTAGACAGCCTGGCCGGTGGCGGTCATCCATTTAGCCAGGGCTCAGAAGCAAAACCCTAGCTGCCCTACAAGGGAGATGTCTGTCCCCTTTCCCCCAACCACAGCAAGCAGAATGCATCTTCCGTATAAGAAGTCCCCGAGGGACTCGGGGATGGAAGCCCCAAAGTGGGGGCCGTATCGCTGTGCTAAAAACAGAGCACCCGGGGAGTGGCCTCTGGGTCCGGACTCTGCTGTGGGCTCCCGGGCTGAGAACAGAGCAAACCTGAGGATGGACGCTTCTCTGCTCTGCTGGCAACTCTGGGAATTTAAGGCATCAGTCCTCCAGCATCCTTACTGTAGCGCGGGAAGAGTGACAGTCTCAGAAACCCACAGGACCAGTTCAACCCTGTCCGGCAGGGTCGCTCTGAGTTGGCACCGGCCAGTTTGGTTTTCGGTGAGATGTTCTGTGGCTGTGTCGTGGTGTACAGTCCAGCCTGCCCAGCACAGGGCTTCTCGTGGGAAACCAGGTTTCAGCTAAGGAGCGATCCAGATACATTTCTGCACTGAGGCAGGACGGTGGGCCAGAGGACATCCCAGGTTCAAGACAAAGAGGGCCGAAGTCCCTGTGGGTGCTTCTCTGGAAGGTGCTGGGCTCCTCACCTCTCCTCCCAACCTGAATAGGGAGCTGGAGAGGCTCGCAGCTTTCTGCTGCTTTGAGAAAATCCAGCAACTGGAATTCGGGAGATCACTGCTAATGAAGCCTGACCTGGTCACTTCCATTAAGAAGCAACCTCGTACAGACGGGGTCAGACACCAGCAGCCTTCAGGGAGTGGTAGGCAGGGCGCTGACTTCGGGACAGCCGGTGCTCTCCTGTGCGTGTGGTGTGCATGTGCGTGTGGTGTGCATGTGCGTGTGGTGTGTGTGTGTGTGTGTGAGACAGAAGGGGACAAGTTGAAATGCATCCTAAACAGCCTGGGTCAGAGGAGGGAAGCGGGCAGGAGGAATCAGGAGAAAGAGGAGCAGGTGGACTCGAGAGGTGGGAACAGAGACCAAGGAGTGTCGTCTGACCTCCGTGGTCAGTCTTAGAGGAAACACAGGACCTATCATGGGAACCCCCCCCCACCCCACCCCACACACACGCTCTACGGTCATCTGTACGGGGTGATACCTCTGTGGTCCTGTTGGCATGATGACTGGCCGTAGTACCTAGAGAAAGTGAACTGCTCCGGCCAACGGGCCACGTGAGCCGCCTGGAAGCACTGTTGTGACGCAGCTGTGACACAGGCTGGCCTTCAGGGACAGATTGCCAGGGGCCTGGCGGTTCGGGCATGGGAGGGTGCCCCTGTTGTTCCCGTTTGGCATCATAGAAATGACTAGTGGGCAGAGGGGTCAAGCGAGGAGGAGGAGGGGTGGGGCAGGGAAGACCTGTGCGGGGTCAGCCGGTGGAGCAAATCCAAGTCTCAGATGAGGCAGCTTCTGTATCACAGCTGACACCCGCTGTGAGTCCTTGGGTCTTCTGGGCCCAGCTCCTGGTCCACGGAGGACTCGGGGCGGGGGTGGGGGTGGGCACGCACTGGCCTGACTCCTCTCTAGCCTTGGACCCCCCTCAGAGGCCTGGGCTCCTCCACGTGGCTCCTCCCACTCTTTGTTCTCCGGCAAGAGAACCATGGAAGCCTCCAGGGGAGGGGGGCGGAGAGAAGAATGAGGTGTTCTCACCCAAAGAAGCATGAGACGAAGTAAAACACAAATGAAAGTGACAAATGGAGGAGGGACGCGGGAGGCTTTGCAGTTGGGTTCTGTTCCTGCAACAGATTCCATGCAACAACGAAAATAACAGCAATTGGTTTGAAACCAAGGTGTTTCGGGGAGAGGCTCACCCTCCAAACTGACATTAAGCAGATGTCTTGCTGAGCGCCGCCCCCCCCAATGACTCAGTGCATGCTACCTTTCCGTCCCTCCTCACGCTCCTTCTGCAGCCCACAGGCCTCTCTCAGGAAGCCTTCGGTGGGGAGGTGGGGGGAGCAATGCCCCCCCAAGGCCGCTGTCTCTCTGTCTCTAACTCGTGCAGGTTCCACACGGGGAGTCGGACTCTGGAAAGCTACACTGGGGTTACTACTGCCGGGTCTGGCCGATGCCTGGAAGGTCCGTCTGGAACTTTCACTGTTGGTTCCAATCCCGGGTCCTAGATAGGGGCGGCTTTTTCCTCCACGGCCTGGTCACTGCTGTCAGGGAGACTCTTTATGGGGAGAATGTGTCTGCTGGGTCTGCCTGTGGGGGTACAGCCCTTCAGAGATGCGGGGTCTGTGCCAGCAAGGTCAAGTCGCTCAGGCAATTAGGCGCCCCGCTTAATGGGTGACAATTACATCGTTACCGGGGATTGCCAAGAGAAAACAATGATTAAGACTATTTGCAGCCGCGCGCGTACACAGCTCCTTCCTCCCCGCTTCACAAGCATTTGGCCTTGGTGGTGTCCATGGTAACCAAATAGGAAGCCCTACCTGGAGTGGAGGCGCTGGCAGTAATGATCTGAGATAGACATAGGCTGGGAGGGGGAGGGGGCAGGAGTCTCAGCCGCGAGAAGCCCTTGGAAGGAGTGACTCAGATGGAGTCACATCTGTCAGGGAAAAGCTGCCACCAAAGTTTCCTCTGGGCGGCTGGTCCCTGAGCGGGCAGCCGTCTGTCATTTGGTGGAGCCCACTGGTGGTGGTGGAGGCACGCAGCCTGCTCCCGTGTGTAGGAAGGTGCCTATTTTTGCAGAAAGACACGGAAAGCCTGTGCTGTGGGGCTTTACGTTACGTCATTGAAGGTGGGTATCGGTCCCCCCTCGTCTGCTTGTTCTTTCCACTTTGATCTCACCTCTCTTCACAAGGAAAGAAACCTTCCCTGCCAAGGAGCTAACCCAGAGAGAGCCGGCACCAAGGGGGTGGGGGTGCTGCCTTTGGAAGGCTCTGAGCCCACATGGGGGATGGGGATGGGGATGGGAAGGCTGAGCCCACACCGGGGATGGGGATGCGATGCCCGAGCAGGGGGATGGCCAGAAGGGGCAGGGGATCCAGGGAGTCAGGGAAGTGGCTGAGAAGCAGGGCTGTTTCTTGGATGTGGTATACACAGAGAGGGAGACTTAGCTGGGCTTGAAAAACAAGAGGCTCCCGGCAAGGCCCATCCACCTCTGGGCAGCTGGGCTCCGTGCCTGCCCTGGCTGAGGGTGGCCCGCCCTCGGAGTGGCTCTGAGGGCCAGGGAAGGCTTGGCCACCCGGCATGGTGTCGTGGCACTCTGGCAGAAAGACTGTCTCTGGTTTCCTGGTGGCAGCTGGAGTTGTGCCAGACAGACTCCTACTAATCGCTGGAGCGGTTTATTCTTACCCTGGCCCATGGTGTATCCCAAACTCGAAGCTACGCCTTGTGTCGTTCACTGCTGTTTCAAGATCTGCCCACTCACGTGGGTCTGCTCTGGGTTTACTCAGAAAAGGGAGGCGGCTGTGTCCCACCCCCGGGTGGCATTGTGGGGCCCCAGCCAGCTCACCATGCAGGCCTCCGACCCCAGAGGATGCACCAGGGACCCTCCTTCCACCAAACCAGTCCCACAGGGATGGGGGGCTGCATAGGTGGGGCCACCCAAGGCCCATGAGGTGTTAACTCAGACCCTGGAGGAAGAGATACCCCCCCCACCCCGTTTCCATTGCAAAAGAGAGTTATTTCCCTTCTGGAAGGAGAGGTATTTTTCTCTCCTGAGAAATGGAGTTGCTGAATGAGATCTGAGAAAGAGCCAACAGGGAGGATTCTGGTTCAGGAGGGGTGGTGCGTGGGGGGCACTCAGGGAGAGGGCTGCCTTGAGGAAAGTTGTAATATCCCCCCACAGAGACATAAAACAGCCCACACACACCTCGTCCACCTCCCATCCCATGGCTACCAAGATTCATCCCTGAGCCTCAGCTGGTTCCTGACAGCTTGGACCCTCTCTGTTCTAGAATTCTAGAAGAAGGCCAAGAGGGGGGCTGCCAGCCCAGGACCTACAGTACCCCGTGGATAAGGGTCCTCATCGCCCTGGCAGGGCCATGCCCCGAGGGGGTGGGGCACAGAGGGCCCACCCGCAGGGCCAGTGTGTGTGTGGACCCTACTGGCTGACAAGGAGACGGCTTCCCTTGGTCCTCATTGGGAGCCCGAGCGCAGGGCCCGCAGGCCTTCAGCTCCCCTTTGCCCTGGAGACACTGAGGTCAGTAGGTTGGGGCTTCAGCCAGGGGGCACGGCCAGGGGCAGCAGGAAGGAATCAGACCCTGGTACTGCAGTGTGGTGGCCCACCCCACCCGTTCACAATGCAGAAATGGCAAAAGTGCGTGAGTCTGTGCATGTGTGACTGTGCGTGCGTGACTATGCTTGTGTGACTCTGATGCCATGCATGTGTGACTCTGCGTGCGTGACTCTGACTGTGTGCGCGTGGAAGCTGAAGACTGGGGAAGCCCAGCGTGACCCCGGACCACGGAGCCAAACCAAACCAGCCACCAACCCAGCGGCCTGACCTCCTGGCCGGGGCTCAGGTCTCTGAAGGTGGGTTCAGCGCTCTACCCCATCCCCACCTCTGTGAGTCCCAGCAGAATGCACCAGAAATGGTGCTCTGGTTGGGGCGGGGGACAAAGCTGCACGCCGAGGTGCACCCTGGGAGCGGGAGTGAGGAAAGGACCGCCCGACCCCGCCGGCTCTGCCGTCTGCTTTTGTTAGGTTGCGACAGGACCGTGGACTGTCCTGTGCCAGGGCCGTATCCTGACTTAGAGCAGCACACTGAGAGGCGAGACCGGCCGTGGACTTCACACCTGGCCTTGAGGCGCAGGGACACGCACACAGGCCTGCTGGCTAGCAGCCACCCCTTCTCTGCCCGCCCGGCTGGGGGGCACCTCTGTGCTCCAATAGGGGGCTCTGCAGGGTGAGCAGAGCTTGAGGAGGGGTGGGGCGGGGTGGGGGTACTCACCATGATGCCGGTGAGGAGGCAGACCCCTTTCCCGCAGTACGTGTGGGGCACCATGTCCCCGTAACCAATGGAAAGGAACGTGATGGAGATGAGCCACATGGCGCCCAGAAAGTTACTAGTTACATCCTGCTGGTCGTGGTACCTGCCAAGGGGAACACAGGCATTAGTCTTTGAACCGCCGTGCCCGGGGGAGAGGCTGCGGACCACACCTGGAGGTGGGAGAGGAAAGGAGGCCTTGGGGCGAGGAGCAGACAGCAGTCAAGTGGCACGCACATCGCTCCAGGCTGCTGAGCGTGCCCCCGACGGTGGCCCCCGTGCCCCCCTCCCCTCCCCATGCTGAGCTCGGCTCCAGAGAAAATGTTTGGTCATGAGCTGCACCGCACTACAGACATCCTTTTGGTGTCGATCAAAAGCTTTGGATAAAATCATGCAGTAATAAAATTGAAAATTTCCCCTCTCGGCCGACAGTCGAAATGTAGGTGGATACGAGGACTCTGGGATTACCAGCTCCCCAACAGGGGGCATGTCAAACCGTGTCTGCTGGGTCTGCCTGTGGGGGTACAGCCCTTCAGAGATGCGGGGTCTGTGCCAGCAAGGTCAAGTCGCTCAGGCAATTAGGCGCCCCGCTTAATGGGTGACAATTACATCGTTACCGGGGATTGCCAAGAGAAAACAATGATTAAGACTATTTGCAGCCGCGCGCGTACACAGCTCCTTCCTCCCCGCTTCACAAGCATTTGGCCTTGGTGGTGTCCATGGTAACCAAATAGGAAGCCCTACCTGGAGTGGAGGCGCTGGCAGTAAT